TTCGAGCACGAGGGCACACACAGAGCCCGAACAAAGGAAAGAACGAAAACCCCGACGAGAAGAAGATTAAGTGCAAAGCCCGCGAGCTCTTCCTCGGTACAAGGTGAGCTGAGATTTTTTTTTTTTTTTTTAAAAAAAAAAAAAAAAAAAAAAAAAAAAGGCCTCCGTATAGTTTGCTCGGTCATTTCGGCGAAGAGACGCGGCGCACGGAGCAAAAATCCATTTGCCCTCCCATACCACAGTTCAATATATATTCGATCGCTAATACAAAACATCACTGTATATACCGTGGGTGTTAAACAAAAGTGTCCTGTTCGAGGTGGTATATATACATATACATGTTATCGGACTCGCCTCTTCCAACGTATACCTGTAGGTACATTAGAAGTAGCGCTGACCACAAGGCGCATGAAGCCAAGCTCCATCGGAGGACATGGTATGTGTGTTGGACGAGGGCACTGGGCGGACAGAGTAGAAGGATATACATATACGCTATAGAGACTCGTGGACGAAAAGGAGGGTGGTAGGTCGGGCGAAAGGGAAGAGCGTGGATATATATATATATTTTGCGCCGCGAGAAAATTGGGAAGAGAAATAATAAGAGTGAATAAAGCCCCGCCGCCCCCCAACTCGATGAGGCTCTGTACAGCTTCGTGTACATATAAATATATATCCTTTGCCCCGTGAGTACCGCTATGTATATACCGGGGCTGTTCATGGTCTTGCAATTAAAAGGGAGGAAAAGGTATGTACCCCCTTGACGCGACCAGGGCTATAATTCACGCTCAGGATTTTCACTCGGGTCGGAGGAAAAGCCCCCGAAACGGAGCTGACCCCCGGTATTCCCGTGCACGAGTCTCTGTGCAATATATATATATATATATATATAGATTATGCGACGGCGGAGGGTGGAGTGAAAAAATTATTTTAGATTTCACGGATATGATCAGCAACATTGGGCACAGAGGACATCCAGGAGCGGGGGGGAGAGCTCCACGAGCAATCGAAGCAGTTTGCTCTGCGTTGAAAAGGCTCCATCGTAAATTACCATCGTACAGGTCCCCCTGGTATAGGTATGGAGTAAGGGCGGGGGGCAAGGATTGGTGCGCGCGGGCCCGAAACTCCGAGCCTTTGATTCCCTCTCTCTCTCTTTCCCTCTCTTTCCATCTTCCTCGTCCGAAAGAGCGCCTCGGGGCTCCTTTGGTCCACTATAGTCGATCCGGACAGATTCCCGGCGAGTAAAAACGCCGGCAAGAAGAGGCAGGAGAAGAATGCGGCCGGTCGATCGGCGACACGACGCCGCTGCGTTTGCCGTCTCCCCCCCCCCGCCACCCCTTTACCCGCGTACATACATACATACATACTTAGAGCCGCTGAGCTCTGCAGAGACGTCTCATCCGCGACAAATCGATTCGTTTGACAAATCTGCCGATTTTTTGCCACCGACCCCTACATCGGTCCGATATATCCCCCAAAGGCTCGGTGATCACGTATGTGGATTCCCATAGCGGCCCCCGAGCCGCATCATCATAACATACCTATACTACCCGTCCTCTTTTGCGACCCGAGTGCGCTTTAGCTCGCGATTATTAAGTATATTATATAGGCGACAAGTTGTACCGATCCGCGACATATACCTACTGCCCGTATTATATTTACTACCCCCCGGCCAACCTCTGTGCGGGTGTAGATTGTTTATATGTGTCCGTACGTGCCATATAATTATATGCATACGAGGAGCGCGCTACGTGTGGTCAAGAAAACTGCGCACGGCTGCTCCTCCGAGTATACGTACACGTCATGTGGATACACGAGCGTATAGATGTATAGAGTCCCGGGACCGCTTGTATATTATAAGCTGGGCTGGTCTCCTATTTTAACAAACAATGCCATACAAGCCTTACGGCATGAGCGCTCAAGATGCTCAATCTGCTGGCCATACGGCGGAGAGACAATACTTATACCCTCTGGACAGTGTACATAAGGAGGAAGGGTGGGGGGGGGGGGGCAAAAAAAACGAAGAAGAAAAGAGAGAAAGAGAGTAGGCCGCTTTCGCGCATCGGCCGTTTTTGGAGAGCAGTGATTTGTCGCGCAGCACCATAAGGGGCGAACGTGCGTCGCATTAACTCTGTTGCCGCAGATGTTTGCGTGTGTATCCGTACATGTGGGGCTATGTGTGTTTTGTGTAGGTATACGTAAGAGGCCTATGTAGGGTACACACTTTTTTTTTTTTTTTTTTTTTTTTCTTCCAACAGCGGGCCCTCTCTTTTCCTCCATCTCTCTCTCTCTCCCCTCTGCTCGACGAGCCGAGCGATTTGTCAGTCCGGCCACCGGAGCGAGGAAAGAGCGCGATAATTGCACGGCCTGTGTGTCTTCGTAAGTATAGGTATAATGTCCTTTATGGCGAAAAATCGCACGGGCACTCTTGAGCGTCCGTATCGCGATGTCGAGTATACAAGTATGTACGAGTGAAGAAATGCTAAAAAAAAAAAAGAGAGAAAACTACGTGCGAAGCGAACGAAAGCCAATGTTTATGGCGGACACCTTTCTCACCCGATTCGGAGTACATGAAAATATCCACGCCCGCAACCCACGTATACGCGCCACGCAATGATAACACGAATTGAACAAACCATCGAATTTTTCTTGCACCCTCGCACCTCAATTGTTTATCAACACACTCTCTTGCACCGGGGCCCGGTATACACGTGCTGGTCGTCATCTATTGTGCGTGTTGGTAAGTATACACAATACCTACGTATCAACAAATGAACTTAATGCACCGCTTTTACTCTCGAGGATAAATTCACGCGCTTCTGGACAATGTAGTTGTACACGTTCGACGGGTGCACGCGTATACAATTCTATATAGGTGTAACGAGTAATCAAAGCTTTTTTTTTTTTTTTTTTTTTTCTACCTACATGCAGCGTGCACTTGTCTCTCTGTATATTTGTGCATAACACCCACACACGAAAACACGTTGTAATAAACGTACGTGCGCGTGTAACGCGTTGTATACCCCGTGGATTTGGAAAAACACGCGCGCGACGTCTCATCTAAATTTAATCTTCGCCCGTGTAAGTAAATCGACAGACCGCGTGCGGACGCGCTCTCTCTCTAAATAAAAGAGTCGCGCGAGAAAAGAAAGCCGCGTTGCATCGGGGGAGGGAAGGCCTTAGGTATACATATATGTATTTTTGGGCGCTCCGGTACAATTTTAGACGTTTACTCTTTCGACGCACAAGCGCAAGTGTATATATATATATATGCCGTAAACCGTGTTGGGATATGTTGTTTCGTGGAGAACCGCTGCCCGTTGGAATGACTCGTTGGCGCGTTTTGAGGCTTATCTGCAAAAGTCGTAATCCACGTGAGAGCCCTCGTCCCGTGCAACTGAAATTAAACCGCTGTTGGGAAAACGAAAAAAATGGACAACCATACTCGGGTTAGTTTTTTTTCGCTTGCGGTAGGTAAAATTGTTTTAACTTTTGCGCGTTTTGCCCCAACAAGCGGCGGTTTATTGGTTTTTCAACTAATTACTGACTTCCGAACATCATGTGTATATATACATTAACTATATGTAGCGCTTTCTAAACGGACCTGAAATTCATACACGCGCGAGTTAATTATTCAACAATAAAGAGCCGAAAATCGGCACACTTGAGCGATCGGATCATTACTTATCGTTAAGACTTTAGTATATATACGAGTGCATTGCGGCAGTTGTCGATATCCTTATTGTCGTATGGTAAGTTGAATGACGTATACTTATAATTGATCCGCGAGGGCCTTAAACACCCACGTTCAAATGACAAAGATGATAACCACCAGACATTCTGGCATGATGTTACACCCATCCGATGTCATAATCACGAAACGACGCGCAATCGGTGCGACACTTGGCTGATTATTATGAGACTTTATCAACCATCAGGCGCCAACGTTACACGCTCGATCGACACGGGTGAACCAAAAATCCATGACTGTCCATCGTTACTGAACGGAGCAGCCGTTCTCCGAACGAAATCGGCAGGGTGCATGACTGGAAACAATTCGCGCAATCAAAACTTTGCCATCCCCTCAGCCCTACCCACGAAGCAGAATAATCAAACGCACTGATTGCTCATCGAAGGGCAAACTGGTACACACGATAACGCCCGTTCACGGGTACAACTGTAAGAACGAGTACATTATACATACTTGTACTCGTAAACGCGGGTTAACACGAAGCCTAGGAACAAGAGAAGAAGAGGCGTAGGGGAGGGGGCGAAAAAAAGGTCGAAGGGGGCGAGCCGGGCGTCGACACTCCGTCGCGGGGCGGGATGCTGCGTCGTCGTCCGGAGCAGCGCCCTGTACCTCCCCCCCCCCTACACCCTGGGCGCTGCCTCTCGATGACTTTCCGAGCTACCACCGCCGGGAGCCGGCGCGCGCGCGCGCGCACCCGCCAGTCGTCGCCCGCCGCTCTGCCGACCATCACCGAGTCGGGAGCGCGTGATTGTCCGCGGACAGCTGGACGGCGGTCCCCGTACCATAGTTGGCAGTGTACAGTGATAGTGCAAGCATCCATGAGGCAGGAATTCGATAATAGCGCGGCTGGATAGCCAAAGTGACCCCCTTTACCCCCACCGGCTTATTGGCCGGCCGGCGAGCCGCTCTTCTCGTTTTGTGCTCCCTTGCGGCGGAGCTTCCGTTGTGCGCGGCAGACAGTCGGACGGATAAAAAGTGCGGCAGTGTGCAATAAAAGCGTGTGTATCGGGATAAAAGTATCGGATGGGCGCACGCGCCTGTTGTTATCGCGGACAACCAGACCCCGTGGAGTGTATTGTCCTGTGGACAGGTATACAATAAAATATATACTACAGGTGCCGGTGAAATGATGAATATGTGCCATACATAAGATATGGGTGTATGATAATAATAATATTGTGGGTGAGTGTTGATTGCGTGTACCAGTGCGGACCAGTACAACGATTGGGGCAACATCTGCGGGAGTCATACTTGCGCGTTTAAATACGTTGATGCTGCATTGGAGCGAGGATCGGGTAGTTGGTTAGCGTTGCCGTGTCCACAGCCATCGGTCGCAAGCACAGCTCTCTTCCCGCGGTTGGAGGTGAGTACGTTATAAGTATTGCAATTTGGGGTTGTTGTTATTTGCCGGCTGTTTGCGAAATTTTACCGATCTCGGTAGAGTCCCCTCGCACGGATGGATTCTTGCACGGATATGCACCGTTACGAGGGAAAATTGGCCGCGGCATTTCAGTCGAGTTTTTTTTTTTTTTTTTTTCTTCTCGATACTCGGCGTTGTCTGAAAAATCGCGAATAATCACGCGAACCAACGCAACAATGCACAATCAGCGCGTTGTTTCACTTCGTGGGGAGACGCGCTCAATATAAATGTACCCAAGCAAAATGAGGGAGCTTGTACAGTGGCATCATCAAAATCGGCAGCTTTGTAAATACCGCGAGGTATTAACATTTTGTGCTGCATTTTGATGAAATCAGTACCCATATGGGGTGAAGGGCGGTGTGCTAACCGGAGAATCCAGAAATGTAATTAATTTCACGACTGTTCGGAAGGGTTATTAAAATTTTATGTGGGTGTACCTATACAGGTACGTAATACGTAATTAGCCCCAGACGCGGGAGACAAGAGGAAGTGAGGAGCTTTGCTGTAAGGGTTGGGAGTTAAGTGGGGGGGTGGGGCCTGGCGAAACAATGATTTTATTGAAAAGATTTAATAAAAGCTCAACCGGAAAGGGAGACAACGAGCGAGTCTTTACACGAGGGTCGAGAGCAAAGCAAAGAGCTTGCAAACGTAAGTGTATATATGTATAGGTCCATCACCTAGCTCGAGGGCGTGACTGCTCGAGCGTTCGTCCGGTGTATACACCCGCGATGTAATACGTACCGTACCGTATCGATCCTGGATCGTTGAACGGATAGGTGTACTCTTCTCTTTGATATTTTTACCACCCACACCCACTGGTATAGACACAGTGCTCGCTAATTGCCCCGAGTGTGTAGCTACTCGATGCAGTTATTTTCCACCAGATTTTTTTTTTTTTTTTTTTTTTTTTCATCGAAGCTCTGCCTTTTATCGTCCCGTTTGAACTTTCTCGATTATACTTCCTGACAAAGTATGTACAGAATTCATACCGCATGCACTATAACGATCGTCACTTTGCTGCGAACGGCCGTCCAGCCAAACGAGTCCCATACAGTTGCAGGACGAATCCAAAAACTCGGATCTAAAGTGCAAAAACGACATCACAATCTAGATCAAAACCGGCCAATTATCTACCTTTTGCGCTCATCGCATTTTACGTACATATAAATACATTAGAGCCCTGATGAGCTGACTTTTCACGCGTTCGAGTTTAATCAAGCTGACCACTGGCGCGGCTGTATATTACATATACTGTACCGACTCGTCATTCACACCTATGCTGCTGTACCTCGACTTTTCGCGTATGTACGTGTTCGCCTATTATTCGGATAACGCGTGAACAATTTTTTTTTTTTTTTTGTTTTTTTTGTTTTTTCCAACGCATGAAAAAAGGTACAGGAGTCCACGTCGGAGAAAAAACACGTTCACGCAGCAAAGTTAGATTGCGGCTGCCGGGGAGCGAGTAATGAATAAACAGCTCGGAGATAAAAACTCGCGGGGGTGGAGAGCTTGAGGCTTTTCCGGTGCACGCACGCACGTTTTTTTTTTTTTTTTTTTTTTTTTTTTAGCCCCCCAAAGATGCGCGAATTTCTCGTTGGCACCTTTTGCCGGCAACCCTCCGCGCCATAATGAATTTACCCTTCCCATACGCGGGCTGGCCGTATATACCTCACGAGGTTCTCCGCCGTTCGAGCACGAGGGCACACACAGAGCCCGAACAAAGGAAAGAACGAAAACCCCGACGAGAAGAAGATTAAGTGCAAAGCCCGCGAGCTCTTCCTCGGTACAAGGTGAGCTGAGATTTTTTTTTTTTTTTTTGCAAAACCTTTACCCCCTGGTAGCCAGACCGCGTAGCGTATAGGGGATAACGAGCAAAAACTCACGCGAGCTAAACCCCCGCGGTAGGAGCGAATCGGGCGAGGTAGGTCGGATAAGTGACACGCGGAGGCACCAACTTAATACAGAGTATAGATCGAGTTGGCCCGTGATTATGATGGATCGGCAGGACCTACTCCGCACGTGACGTACAGGATTTTGGTGACGTCGCGCGTCGTCGAGTTGCCTCATCATGCCTGTATTCCGAGAGCCGTGGCAAAACTAACAAGAAGAGAGAGAGAGAGAGAGAGGATGTCCCGTCAGTCCCGTCTGTGTGCGTAACGTGTTGACCAGGATGTTTTTTTTTCCCCGTGCTTGTATACTCACGCGTACCTATGTGTACTGTTGGGATTGGCCGAGTTAAACCAACGGGGTTTTATCTCGGCGCGCTTGATGCACCGAATGGCCAATGTTGTACTCTACGTCAACTCAACCTCTATACCGCGATAAATCCTCTCTTATACGCTAACTTGTAGCGAAAAAGCATCATTTACCGAAAAAAAAAGAAAAAAAAAAAAAAAAAAAAAAAAGTAAGGGTTCAAGGGTACATCAACCACGGGCATCTTTCCGCCCTCGAGAGCCCTTGCTTTCTTATCTCCGGCGTATAGGCTTCAAAACCCTTCACCGTCTCATTTGTCAGCGAAGCTGTCGGTGAGAGAGTCGATGACGGAGCCTCTATACACACGAGACGTAGAAAGTGACGTGGTGGTACATATACAGCTTTAGGGATGATCGTCAACGATTCGACGACCGGGTCTACGCTACGTACCTACATACTCTTCGACAACTGCGTATACCTCATCGTGGCCGATTCACGCTCCCTAATATATGACGTATACGACAGATTACGGAGAGCTTGAAAAATCAGTCACGAAAATCCCCCGCGAGATAAACGTGTACAATGTATATAGCTTCTCGGTTATTTGCACCATTGACGTGTCGACCGGCTGACGTGAGTTTTAATGACCATATTGTCACGTTGGTGTGGCAACAATTAATTATCGAACACGTCATCGCGTGCGAGCGTATAGCCACAATAAGGAGAGCTAATAGTTTATGCCACACACGTTTTAGGGACTTGATATGGTATAGTTTCACGAAAATTTTACACCCGGTTCATTAAAGTCGTGTAAAGCCCTAAATCCTGCTTATCGAAACGTTGCCCACTTTTTTCCATAAAACGTACGATCGACGCGACGTGTCGTTCACTCCCGTTATATAACAAGGAAGAAGCACGGATAGCTTTACAAAGCCGATCTGTCCCTTATAATATGGTTACACGTATATATATAACCGTTGCAGCCTCGGGGGCGAATTATCGGAAGGGGAGGCGGTTTTGCATCCGTTTCCCGCTAACTTTTATTGGAAAAGTTTCCGAAAACGGAGTTTTGCGCAGAAGCCCCGGGGAGACACCGAGCGTCTTACATTAAATTACACGGACAATCATACACCCCTTTTCGACGAGCCGCTCTACATTAAACCCGAATACTATCATCCAAAATAATCCTCCGATGAACCCATGAAATAAAAAAAAGAACTATGCACTATATATTACCATGACATCGCGTAACATATTTGCGCGCGCGTATCCTGAGGTTGAAAACAACGAGTTAGGGGGGGGGGGCTCGGGGTGATTGCGCGTCAACTCGAGTCTTACGTCATCCACGACGCGATACACGCGCCACCGTCATCCCTCGTATCAGCCGAGCCACATCGACACGAGAGAGGCATCGGATTAGATCCACGGGGAGCGTCAGAAAAATCGTATTGAGAAGGGCAGGCGAGAGCTTTGGAAGCCCCGTGTAGAAGAAGATCCCTCTCTGGTCGAGGGTAAGAAACGCAATCGCCCCTTGGTGGTTGAAATATATATATATATATATTCGCGGTGTACGTATACATATACACGGCTCTCTCGGGCTGATGGATTGGACCGCCGCAGGATTTACGCCGCTCCGATTGAATCCGAGCAGGGGAAGCGAGCACTTATCTGTGTAGTGTTACGCGAAGCTTGCATACGCACGAGCGAGCAGAGTGAAAGAGGGTCTCGAAGGACGGGTCTGTGGGTGGGGGGGGGAGGGGGAGTTCCTTATACCCGTTTAGGCGTCACATTATACCATCGCGGAGAAAGGGGGGCGAGTGGGAATCAAAAAGCCAAGGGCGCGTGCTTCGAGTTGGGCGGTGAATCCACAGTGGGTGAAAGTTCGCCCCAGTATGATGATCACCCCCCCCTGCCCCACGTTTTTTGGCCACAACTTTTCGATCCTGTCGCTCAACTTTGTCTCGACGACACCTCTGTGCCATGTGTATAATATATGCCGCTTTGGCAAACGCGATCCTAATATCCTACCGATAAATTTTACGGTGTATATAAATATATTCCTGCAAGCCCCTGGCCTCTCTTGATTGCGCCGTGAGCTTAATTTTGTTATACGGTTTGCTTGATCAACTCCCTCTCATATGTTAATAACACAAGTATACACGTAGACTTTGATTTCGATTTGATAGCAAGCTGTTTTGCAAAAATTTTTCATTAAATTTGTTGTTTATTATACGGCTCGCTTCGTCAGATAATGCCACGTTTTATAACTTTCCGGGTTGATGCTTCGGGCTCTTGAAACTGCTATTATTATTGCAGCTTTCGATTTGAGAAAATTAAAATGCAAATATTTTGCGTTGCGGGGGAGAAAAATGCGAGGAAAATAATGTACCTGTGGCACGTAGAAACATGAGTATAAGCTGTTGGTAACAGCGAAGTGTACGATGTATTAAAGTGCATTGCGAAAAATAGTAAAAAAAAAAAAAAAAAAAAAAAAAAACCAATTGATTGTTTGTACAATTCATGCACGATTGCAAGAATAAAATGGTGCAAATAAATAAAATAAAAAAAAAACATACCCCAAGCTATAATATACGGTTCGATTATTTTTTGCTCCTGCTCGTTAACGACGTCCGAGTATTTATTTCTTTTTGGATGTTTTATTTTATTTTATTTTATTTTTTTCATATTTTAGGCATACAGGAAGCACACCCAGGGTTCACGCGTATACGTACAAAAGCAGAGAGGAGCC